AGGTATAAATCAAGTGTAAGAAATAGTATCTCAAAAAAATTAGTATAAACTCTATAATCTTTTCATCAGCTTCCTCAGATAGGTACTTAGAAGAGTTAAAAAAGAATCAAAGAATGTTAAAAATGGAAAAAAGGTCTAGTGCAAGCCACTTTTATAATGGGAAAACAAGGCCCAGAAAAGGTAAATTGACATGCCCAAGCTCTTGTAACTAGTTACCTGCAGAGACAGGCCTGGAACTCTAAAGCCTGGACAAAGACACCCTATGTTTTCAATATACCATACTGACTTTCAAGAAGCTTCAGAAAACTAGAATCTCATTTTATTTTTTACCGATATTTCTGTTGATGATTTAAAAAGATGAATGTGTATCTAGAATAGCAGAAATGAGGACACAGATGGTTTGATGAGCCTCCTGAGTTGTGGAGCATAAGATGTTCAAATAGCCAGGCACGGTGGTTCACACCTGTAATACCAGCACTTTGGGAGGCCAAGGCAGGCGGATCACCTGAGGTCGGGAGTTCGAGACCAGCCTGACCAACATGGAGAAACCCCGTCTCTACTAAAAATACAAAATTGGCCAGGTTTGATGGCACATGCTTGTAATCCCAACTACTCAGGAGGCTAAGGCAGGAGAACTACTTGAACATGGGAGGTGGAGGTTTCGGTGAGCTGAGACCGTGCCATTAACCTCCAGCCTGGGCAACAAGGGTGAAACTCTGTCTCAAAAAAAAAAAAAAAATGATGTTCAAATAAATGAAAGAAATCAATTATAGAGTACTCCATAGGTATACTTGCCTAATCTGAACATCACACTAAATCTTTACATAATAATTTAGTACTATTATTCATGCTTAACGATATTATTCTCACAGAAAATATTCATAGAATTCCAATTCCTCTAACTGAATTAGAAGCCAAAAACTTACAGAATGGGTTGAAAATTAACTTTAGGAAATATAGTTGTGAAATTTAAGCACAATAACAGTTCCAGGGATTTAACAAGCATGTAAACACGTCTTATACATTTGTTATAGTACGTTTTTTTCTTGTTTTGAGGAGTCTGTCACTCTTGCCCGGGCTGGAGTGTAATGGCATAAACCTCTACCTCCAGGGTTTATGTGACTTTCCTGCCTCAGCCTCCTGAGTATCTGGGATTACAGGCGCACACCACCACACCAGAATAATTTTTTGTATTTTTAGTAGGGATGGGGTTTCACTATGTTGGCCAGACTGGTCTCGAACTCCTGACCTCGTGATCCGCCTGCCTCAGCCTTCCAAAGTGCTGAGATTATAGGCATGAGCCACTGCACCTGACTGGTACTTTTTTTAATCATGAAAAAAAAAAATACAAGAGTTAATGCAAGAAGCCTCCATATTAACACTTTTTGAAACTTATAACAGGCCTGTGATATAAGCAAGTATCATTCTGTTTTATAGACAGTGAAACTGGGACCCAGAAGATCAACAACTGGAGTTATATGCTGGGGCTAGAACCCAGATATCCTACTGTCAGGTCAGTAGGCTTTCCATTGTACTCCATCATACATGCCAACTGCCGAGGTGGGTGGATCACCTGAGGTCAGGAGTTCACAACCAACCTGGTCAACATGATGAAACTTGTCTCTATTAAAAATACAAAAATTAGCTGGATGTGGTGGTGGGCATCTGTAATCCCAACTACTCAAGAGGCTGAGGCAGGAGAATCACGCGAACACAGGAGGTGGAGTTTGCAGTGTGCCGAGATCATGCCATTGCACTCCAGCCTGGGCAACACAGCAAGACTCCGTCTCAAAAAATAATAACAAAAATAAAATAAATGCCAACTGATATAATAAAGTAGGAAATGGAAGAAGATATTACTTTATAAAGGGAAACATGACAATCTCAATGATTGCATATGCATAGTCTGTGAGTGTCTATGAACACTACACTACTGAAAGTTTAGATTCAAAGGTGATTAACTATTTTTGTTTGTTTGTTTTGAGACAGTCTCGCTTTGTCACCCAAGCTGGAGTGCAGTGGCACGATCTTGGCTGACTGCAACCTCCACCTCCTGGGTTCAAGCGATTCTCATACCTCAGCCTCCCGAGTAGCTGGAATCACAGGCGTGCGCCACCAGGCCCGGTTAATTTTGTATTTTTGGTAGAGACAGGGTTTCACCATGTTGGCCAGGCTGGTCTTGAACTTCAGACCTAAAGTGATCTGCCTGCCTCAGCCTCCCAAAGTGCTGGGATTACAGGTATGAGGCATTGCGCCTGGCCTTAAATATTAAATGGAAACATAGCAGTGTTATATAAGAAGAGTTTAATGAATTAATAAGAACATTCCCATATATGAGTTTTATAATAACATTTACTAATTTGGGGCAAACATGATATATCAAAATGACATACCAACTTGTTGGGATCCCAACGTTTCTAAGACATAAAATCCTGAGACACACAAGTCAGCCTATAATAGAAGTATCATTTCTTCTTGTTATCCCTTTGCACATTCATCTAGATTCTGTTTACTCCAGTGAGGGAGCAAAGAGCACAACAAAGTTGGGGGACTTTGGAGCCGAAGCTTTTATAGACTGTGTTCTCACCTAGAAGAATGTCAGCAGGTAGGATTAAAAAGAGAAGATAGCCAGAAACATGAACATATCAATGCCCACACTTTTGCCTATCCATCTTCTCTTAGGAATATGTTTGTGCCCAATCCCTTCACCTTCTAAAACATTTGTTGCAGAGAGGTTAGGTCTAAATGTCATTAATTTAAGAACATTTCTGGGGCTGGCACGGTGGCTCACGCCTATAGTCCAATCATTTTGGGAGGCTGAGGTGGGCGGATCACCGGAGGTCAGGAGTTTGAGAGCAGCTGGGCCAACACGGTGAAAGCCCATCTCTACTAAAAATACAAAATTAGCCAGGTGTGGTGGCAGGTACCGGTAATCTTAGCTACTCAGGAGGCTGAGGCAGGAGAATTGCTTGAACCTGGGCGGTGGAGGCTGCAATGAGCCGAGATTGTGCTACTATTGCACTCCAGCCTGGGAGACAGAGTGAGATTTCATCTCAAAAAACAAAACCAACCAAGCAACCAAATGAACAAACATTTCTGGGTGAGAGAGAGAAAAAGATGAGAAAACAAAAAAGAACATTTCTCCACTAAGGGAAATACAGTGTTAGGACTCTTCTTGTGTATAGCTCTGGTCTAGCAAGTTATCTTAAATACACACGCGCACACACACACACACACACACACACACACACACAGAATTATCAAGAACAATGTGCCATATGAAAAGGAAAAAAATGCTATTTGAATGTTATTCAGTGCCTGTGCTTTACATAAGGTGGGATCATTTATTTATTTATTTCACCTAAAAGTTATTCATATCATAATATAAAAGACTGCTTAATTCAAAGCTCACAAACCAGAAAGTACCTGATCAAAGCACATTAAAATAAGTACTATGCAAATGTGGTTTATGATAAGTAGTAATAACACAGTAACTTCAAAGGTACTCTTTAATATTCATTTATTATCGATGAAATGAATAAAACCAGAGTTCAGTTCTTGATGTTCTTTTTTGTTCTTTCCCCCAAGGTGATGCCTATATTCAGACAGTTGCAGTGACCACTCCACTGCATTATTTCTCTCTTATCCTATACCTTGATTTCTCTCTTCATTCACAATCTCACAACCAACTCCCAAATGTATTTTTCTACTTGGATATTAATAAATTATTCAATTCAGGCCAGGCACAGTAACTGACACCTGTAATCCTAGCACTTTAGGAGGGTAACACAGGAGGACTGCTTGAGGTCAGGAGTTCAAAACCAGCCTGGGCAACATAGGAAGATCCCATCTCAAAAAAAGTCCGCTGGGCATGGTGGCACACACCAGTAGTCCCAGCGACTTGGGAGTCTAAGGAGGAAGGATTGCTTGAGCCCAGGAGTGCAAGGTTACACTGAACTATGACCACGCTACTGCACTCCAACCTGGGCGACAGTGAGACCCTGTCTCTAAAAAACTAAAATCAAAAAATAAATAAATCATTCAATTCAATATACCTGGTGTCAAACCTATCACTACTTAAATGTCATGCTTCCAAGATACCGCATTTTTTTCCAAACCACTCAAACTCAGATCCTTTGGATCTCCCCACCAATACACACATATCCAGTCCATCACCACGTCATGAAATTCCTCCTACACAATGTCTCTTGTCTACTTTCATTTCTACCATTTTATAAGCTCTCAATTATCTCATACATAGACTACTATGATTGTAATGATCTAAATGGACTCACTCCTTGGCTCTAGCCAATATATTCTTCACACTATTTCCAGATTAATATGAGTGGAGGCTGGGAGCAGTGGCTCACGCCTGTAATCCCAGGATTTTGGGAGGCTGCCTGGCCAACCATCTGTACTAAAAATACAAAAAATAGCCAGGCATGGTGGTGCGCACCTGTAATCCCAGCTACTTGGGAGGCTGAGGCAGGAGAATCACTTGAACCTGGGAGGTGGAGGCTGCAGCGAGCTAAGATCATGCCACTGAACTCCAGCCTGGGTGACAGAGCGAGATCATGTCTCAAAATAATAAATAAATAAATAAATAATTCTGATTTTTTTTTTAAAAAAAGCTTCAACAGTTCTTTACCGCTAACAACACCACGGTTCCCACTTGTTTAGGTGGCAAAGACCTGGGAGATCATGGTTGTCTTTGCAGAACAAGTACATTATTTTATTTATTATCCTTAAACTAACATATATCACTTACTAAGTTTCAGTATATAATTGTATTTTAGATCAGATATATTATCTCACACTAAACACTAGCATAGACATGCTGTGGCAGCTGCCAAGTTTTTTAAAGTATAGAAGGAGAACTTTCTACTGTAAACCCTCCAGCCCACCCAACTATTTGAGTTATGTCTTTCTCACAAATCTCGCATTTTTACCATTTGCATGCCTTAATATCATGCAATTCCACCTACTGAAAATACTCTCTCCACTTCCCTTAATTTCAGTTCTGTTCATTTAGCCTTCAAGACCAACTCAAATCCTATCTTTTATGTGACGCCTTTTCAGACCACTGCCATCATTCATTCCTCTCAACCCACTACAGGTACCATTTATGGTTTTGGGAAGCAATACAGTATTACAGTTAAGAGCCAAGGCTTAGAAATCAGACAGATTTGGATTCTCTCACCTATTAACTGAGATCCAAAAGAAGTTACTTAACCTCACTAACCTCAGTCTCTTCACCTAAAAAAGATAAACATTGAAAACGGAATAATACAGTAAAAAAGAAACAAAACAACAACAAAAAAAAACAAAAAAAGATGAACATTAATATTTATCTACCTCACAGTGTTGTTCTGAGGATTAAGATAATATATGTGATATATACTTTTTTGAGACAGGTTCTGGCTCTGTCACACTCCTGGGCTCAAGCAATCCTCCTACTTCAGCCTCCTGAGTAGCTGCGATTACAGGCGTGTGCCACCATGCCCAACTAATTTTTGTGTCTTTTGCAGAGATGGGGTTTTGATATATTGCCCAGGTTGGTCTCAAACTCCTGAGTTTAAGTGATCCGCCTGCATTGGCATCCCAAAGTGCTGGGAGTACAGGCATGAGACACGTGCCCAGCCTCATACATGCAGACTTCCATATGTTCTCTCCTTATCCTTTCTCCAGCAACAATAACAATAACAACAAAACAGGTGTACACATTTCTCCCCAGGGAAGCCCATTAGAGACTTAGTGACCACAGTTTTCACTGGGGGCTGGCCTCAGAGGCACATACCAAAATTCCAGACTCTCAGGAGGAAAACATGTGTTCAGCATAAATCACATTATCTGTACCAACAAACCAGGCAAAGTGAACTACTTACCAGTAGGGAACAGAGGGAAACCAAGTTCCCACACAGCAGCCAAGGGCCAGTCTTGCCAGCAGGCCTTTCTAAAGATAGCAGTCTCATGTCTGTTACGTTAGCTCTATTCTGTACAGTTTACCACAATGCTCATATTATAAGTTAACTACACAAATACACTGTGGATACCATTACATTGCAATACCATAATTAGCTGGGCATGGTGGTGCATGTCTGTAGTCCCAGCTACTTGGGAAGCTGAGGCGGGAGAATTACTTGAACCTGGGAGGCAGAAATTACAGTGAGCCAAGACCACGCCACTGCACTCCAGTCTGGGTGACAGAGTGAGACTCTGTCTAAAAAAATGAATAAACATTGCAATACCACGTATTAGCTCATATTTCCTACAAAACATGTATAATTGTGGGCAGGGAAGAAAGAATGGGGACCTATCTCTATATATGTTAAGCAGTGCTTCTTCTTCTTCTTCTTCTTCTTCTTTCTTTTCTTCTTTCTTCTTTCTTTCTTCTTTCTTCTTCTTCTTCTTCTCTTTTTTGTGAGATGGAGTCTTGCTTTGTCACCCAGGTTGGAGTACAGTGGCGTGATCTTGGCTCACTGCAGCCTCTGCCTCCTGGATTCAAGCTATTCTCCTGCCTAAGCCTCCCGAGTAGCTGGGATTACAGGTGCCTGCCCCGACACCCAGCTAATTTTTCTATTTTTAATAGAGACAGGGTTTTGCCATGTTGGCCAGGTTGGTCTCAAACTCCTGACCTCAGGTGATCTACCTACCTTGGCCTCCCCAAGTGCTGGGATTATAGGCGTGAGCCACTGCGCCCAGCTAAACACTGCTTCCTAAAATGGGTTTCCTGGTACAATTGCTTTGGGAAATTTTGTGTATTATTTCCTTTCTTGGACATTCTCAATTCATATGAGCACATTAAAGGACCTAAGAAATTCTACAGTGGAGAGATTGGTATTTATATTATTTAATACCACATTTTGCATTTGACCATGCAGTACCTATTAACTCCCTGCTGACAATTTATGAAATGCTGTGCTAAGGCCAACAAATGTGCCCACCAATCTTGGCCAAATGGGAAAAAGATGAAATGTCAGCAGGTTTTGAAAGAGCACTATTAGAGCTAGAAATATGAAATCACCTGCTCCTGTGAGAGGCATAAAGTAACAAAACTACTGGAAGGTACATGTGGAGCACCCTATCTTTGTGAACTTGGCCTCCATGAGTTATAAAAAGAAAGAGAAAATGAAGGTAATTTAGTTCCTACTTAAGAAGACATGATAGGCCGGGCGCAGTGGCTCACGCCTGTAATTCCAACACTTTCGGAAGCTGAGGTGGGTGGATCACTTGAGGCCAGGAGTTCAAGACTAGCTTGGCCAACATGGTGAAACAATGCAATAAAAAAAAAA